GTTGGGCCCATTAAGAGCCAATGGTGATGGACTCAGGGGTTCACTGTCTCCTACAGTGAATTCGGTCAGGCCTTGTAACAAAGGCTAGGTTGAACCCATGTGGTTGATGTGTAGATCAATGTTTGGGTCCCACGCCATACAAGGATATCCAACTGGGCAGCAATAAATAGGGTAAGTGAGCATATGGACTTAATGGGCCTAAATCCCAATTCGAACTGGCTTAATGAGATTAATTAAAAGAAGGCGGTTCTGGGATTTAGATTAGCAGATAGGATAAGGGATTATCCCTATCCACTCAGAGAGACCAGATCCAAATAAAGATTTGGATCAGGAAACTCCTAATTAGATTAGGAGGGTTGATCTTTCTGCAGATAAGGGATTATCCTTATCTCTTAAAGAGAGTCCAGATCCAAATACAAGATTTGGATTAGGAAACTCCTAATGGGATTAGGAGAACCTCTCTTTAAAGGTTATAAATAGAACAGCAAGGGGCAAACCTCAACACATAGAAAACAAGACAGATCATCTGGTTCGCAAATTACAAGAAAGGAAATCTTGCTGTTCGACTACTTCTGATTTCTACCCTTTCCTGCTCTTGCCGCCTCTGCCAGTTCGATCTCCACCTGTAGGAGCGATCAAGAATAGTTCTTGATATTACCTTTTGGGAGAAAAGGTAATCTAAAGTCGTGCTCACCTACCCTCCATCGAATTCTTGCTAAAGAATTCAGATCTTGCTGAAAAACCATCCTACTAATTCTGCTCCACCCTACGCTGTGTCATCTTCAATAGGAGCAATCTTTGGTATTCTCCTTGGGCATGAACACCTTCATTGGGAGTTACTGCTACTCTGTATCAGGTATATCCCTCTCCTACCTTTTTTGTTTCAGATCTGGTCTGGTTTGGTTTCAAGATTGATCCTTGAAAATGCAGTTTTCTAAAATAAGGAATGTGATTCCCACATGGGAGAGAGAGAAATTTTTGAAATTTCGCCCAACCTTCCTACAGGGTTCGGCCATCCATATGATGGATCTCTCATCCCTTCAATTGGAACAAGAGTTGTGTAGCGGGGGTGAATTTACAGGAAGATGAGGTGCATTTGGTGGCTAGGGCTTTAGGTTGCGAGGTAAGTGGTTGGCCTCTGGTATATTTAGGTCTGCACCTGGGGGAATCCTAGAACAGAAAGCTTTTGGTACCCAGTTTTGGAAAGATTCACTAAGAAGCTAGCAGGGTGGAAGAGAAATTATATCTCGCTAGGGGGTAGAATCACTTTAATCAAATCCACTCTGACCAACCTTCAGGTGTATTTTCTATCTACCTTTAAGCTTCCTGCCAAGGTTGCCAATAAGTTAGAAAAAGCTCATGAGAAACTTTCTATGGGAACCGGGTGACTCAAAAAAGAACCATTTAGTGAAGTGGGAAGTAGTTTCTAGAAAAAAGGAAGCAGGGGGTCTAGGGCCTCTAGGCATTGGCAATATCAGATTAAGAAATGTAGGTTTGTTAGGAAAGTGGTTGTGGAGATTTCCTTTGGAGCAAGACACTTTGTGGCACTTGGAGGTGAAAAGTATTCATAGGATGGCAACTAATGGATGGGATGTTGGCGTCGACCCTAGGGCTTCTCATTCCTCCCCTTGGAAAGTAATTGTTGGAGTCTTTGCCTTCCTTTCAGCCTTTCGTCATATTTGATGTGTGCTCAGGTAATAAAATTCTGTTTTGGAAGGACCTTTAGCTTGGGAACACCCCCCTAAAGGTTAGATTCTCGGTAATGTATTCTCTTTCCCTAAATAAATTCAAAACCATCTCCTCACTTCATGTATCTGAGGGGACTTGGGATTTGGGTTTGAGAAGAGGGTTGAGGGATTCAGAATTGGCTTCTGTAGATGAGTTATTCACTGCACTAAGTCCAGTTTTCCTAGATCTTTCTTGCCCAAACAATAGAATTTGGAAAGTCTTCTTCTGGAAATTTCTCTTGTTCATCTTTTTTCAACACCTTAGCTCAGTCTTCTATTGTGTTTGTCTCCTTTCCTGCTAAAGAAGTTTAGCATTCTCCTTTGCCGCCAAAGGTTAGGACTTTTTGTTGGGAAGTGGCTCTTCAAAAGATCAATACTATGGATGTACTTCAAAGAAAAAGGCCAGACTGGTGCCTTCCCTACATGTCTGTTACCTTTACTTAAGAAATGGTGAGATGGTGACTAATCTTTTGATTTCTTGTCCTTTTGCTTCTTATTTGTGGGATTGGTTCTCTTATTTGTTTGGTTGCAAATGGAATCCCCCCCCCCGAGTGTGCTGAACCTTTTTTACTCTAGTTTCTTCTGACAACCAAGGAAAAGAGGCAAGGTAATGTGGAGAATAACAAGAGCAGCCATCCTATGGTCAATTTGGGAAGAGAGAAACAATAGGATCTTCCTAGGGCAAGAAAAATCCAAGGAAGCACTTGTTGAGGTTGTCACCATCAAGGTTATGCATTGGCTGAAAGTACACCATCTCTCAAGGACTTCTCCTCAGCTGACTTAATTAGAAATTGGAGTGCTATAGATGTATCCTCTCCTTACTCCCCTGTGGTACAAGAAAGTTGGGTAGCACCGCCTCAGTTCAGGGTGAAGCTAAACTTTGATGGAAGCTCCTTGGGTAATCTAGGTTAGTCGGGAGTTGGGGTGTGTTCAGAAATGAGGAAGGAAAAGTCTTGGCCCTTTACTTGGGCCCAATTGAGGTGGGAGATTCATTAAGGGCAGAAGTAATTACCTTACTTCAAGGTTTGAGACTGGCGAAACAATGGGAAATGCAGCAATTAGAAGTGGAAGGAGACTCCAAGCTGGTAATAGGGTGGATGCAATCTGGAAACCTGGGAGTGTGGTCTCTTAGACAGCCTCTAAGAGAGATTATTAGCTTAGCAAGGGAGATCGGGGTGCATTTTAAATGGGTAAGAAGGTCAAAAAATGGAATGGCTGACACTTTAGCTAAGCAAGGAGTTACTAGGGAGGCTTTGTTTTGGGCCTGTTTGTAAGTTTTTTATTTTCTTTTTCCATCCATTTTGTGGGTGGTAAGCCTGTACTCTTTTCAATTCTCTAATGAAAGTTACCGTTTCCTATCAAAAAAAATAGGGTGGATGCAATCTGGAAACTTGGGAGTTTGGTCTCTTAGACAGCCTCTAAGAGAGATTATTAGCTTAGCAAGGGAGATTGGGGTGCATTTTAAATGGGTAAGAAGGTCAGCATGGAATGGCTGACACTTTAGCTAAGCAAGGAGTTACTAGGGAGGCTTTGTTTTGGGCTTGTTTGTAAGTTTTTGTTTTTTTCCATCCATTTTGTGGGTGGCAAGTCTATAATCTTGTCAATTCTCTAATGAAAGTTATCGTTTCCTAATAAAAAAAAAAAGAACTTTAAAGTGCAGGGTTAGAAATGAAATCATACAAAGGAACCTAGGAGTAGCTCCAATAGGTGACAAAATGAGAAAGTAGATTAAGATGGTTTAGTCACATACATAGAAGACCATCTACAACAACAACACCTATTAGATAAAGTATCCATTACAAGTTGAAGGGATTCAAGAAGAGCTACAGGCAGACCAAAAAGGACTTTGGTGGAAGACAAAAAAAGATTTAAGTGCCCATAACTTGAATGATAGTTATGGCACCGAACAGAATGGAATGGCAAAACAGGATTCATGCAGCCAACCCTATATAGTTGGGACAAGGCTTAGAGGAGGATGATGATGACTAGACTAATCAATATCAGTTCTGTTATGACATTAAAATAACACTATTAGATGATGGCTATAACTCTAATAATATCTGATGTTATACTAGTATATAACACAATACAATCCCCCCAGAATATTCGGTTATATTATCATTATAACTGGTCCAACCATCAACTCATTAACATGATATAACTATAACAGTTAAATATAAATAATACAGTATATGTCAACTCATTAACATGATATAACTATAGCAGTTAAATATAAATAATACAGTATATGTATTGCATGTTTGCAAAATGTTCCCTTACTGTGATATTGCAATACTCTTCTGTTTAAACTGATATGATTTCTTTTATTGGTGAGTTAAATCATAATCTTTAAACTGAATTGAGTTGCAACAATTCATAATAGTTAGTTAATTACTAGAGCACAATCTTCCTAAATTGAGGTGCCAAACTGGTTGGATTACAATTCTTATGGGAACATTTCTTGGGTTTTTAATGGCCCTGTTTCTGCTCAAGATGCTTCAGAGTTCGGAGGCAGAGGTTGAAGCTCTGTTGGTGGGTCTTCAGTCAGCTAAATCCCTGCAGGTTGATTCTGTGTTAGTTGAGGGTAATTCTAGAACCACCATTCACATTGGATGGGCTAAAAAGAAAAGTACAGGTCCTTGGAGGCTAGCTCATTTCTTGTGATAAATTTATGACATCTCAGATTTTATGCAATGCAGCTTCTGAAGGATCCCCGGGAGTTTAAATTTTCTGCAGATGGTTTAGCTAAATAGGGTGAGAAGGAAATTACATTGTATAGTGCGAATTCTTATCCTATATCTTGAGTGGGAATTACATTTTTAGTTTGGAAGCCCTGTTTGTTCATCTCCTCATTTCCCTTTTCCTTTTAAATGAAAGTTACCTTTTTTTCAAAAAAACAAACAATACAGGTTAGAATATATGAAAATGTCACATTAATTCTTTTAAAAGTATTAGGTAACTATAATTGTATATTGAATGAAAAGGTAGGTCATAGAATAATCAACAATGTATTGCCAAAATGTTCCTTTCCCCTTTCTTCGGGAGATGGGCAACCTAACATTGGAAAAAACAATTATTGCACCCATCCAAATGCCTAAGAGATACCAATTGACACAAAAAAATAATAAAATAATAAAAAATGCATTATCAAATTAACCTCTACTAGAGATAAATTGCCATGGAAATTCTATGTAAAGAAACAACTAATTACAAAGGACAAAAAACATCTTTGGGGTGTTAAGAAAGACAAATCAGCAGCTTATGCTTACTCACATTTGATGCTGAGCAGAAAGAAATGCCACTGCAGAAGTTATTTCCTAATACTGCATAGCAGCTGATATATGTTGCTCCTCATTGTCCAAGCTGTATTTGTTCAGAATAACCAAGAAGCTTTTTGAATAAGGGCACAAGGCCAATCAAAGCAATTTGGAGCTGTTCTGAGCTATTCAAGCGAATACTGACTTGGCCAGCCCCCTTGTTGTTCAAATTGGCCCGAGCAACCATGTTTGTATACCGTCCTATAGGGAACTGAGATTGTACATTACACCCGATTGCAAGATCTCCACGCCAATCCATGATAGAGAGACCAAGAGTTGATAGAGTGCGACCAAGAGGATAATCCTTATCTCTCAAGGTGGCTTCCAGATTGCCACCATATGCCACATCACCACGACCAGTCATAGCACCCCCAGAGATAACCAACCGGAATCTTTTGTTAACAACCAATTTGTCTTCAAGCTTCAGTCCAGCTGTAAAGGCCTCACCCAAAAGAGCAACCGAAAGTCCAGCCACCATTTTATTGTGTCTAAAGTTACTAAATCTCGTTTCACTGCGCAAAGTATAAAACATGTCCTTTCCAACAGTCTGTGTGTCAAAGCCTAAGGAAGTTGCCTTACCTTCACCATGCTTGATGGAACTGGCCAGTTCCATTTGGAGATTAGACTCCTTTTTATCCTTTGTAACCTGACCAGAAAAGGACAAAGGTATCTTATCTTTAACCGCAAATAATCTTTCCACATTTATACCCTCATAACCAACATCATGATCCCAACCATGAGTTTCTAAAACGGGCCTCACAAGCCACTGGTTAGAGGAATCCAGGTAGCGGTAGCGGTGCGTGGGATTGTCTGAATCAAATGAAGTTGGCAAAGCCAGATCTGGCATGGGAACCGGCACAGATGCAGCGCCACCACTTTCTTCTTCTGTGTTCTCATTATAGTCATTTGGCAAATCCTTAGCAGACGCAGCCATTTTCTTCAATAGTTTCCGCCGCTTCCTCTCCTCCTTCAATTGTTTTTTTATAAAAAGCTTTTCTCTGTATTCTAGTTCATCAAAATATGCCTTTTTTTGGGCTTTACTCAACTTTTCAAGTTGAGCCTTGGTCAGGCGCTTAAATGGTGGCAATTCATCATAATCTGACTCTTCATCTGAGTCTGTTGTCTCATCCAAGTCCTCATCCAATGTATCATCATCATCACCGAACTGTTCTTCTGGCAATTTCAGCTGGGGCCTTGATTGAAGAAGAGATGATAAAAGGTGTGGCAAAGGGAGTACCCGTGAACGTGTTGCAAAAGGCTTTCCAGGTGGACTATCTTGTAGCTTTAAGAGTGTGTTTGCCTCAGCTAAAATCTTTGAAGCAAAGGAAAGCAGTAATAGATGAGGTTTCCAAACCTGCCCATTTGGCAAGACTCTCTGCCCTGCCCTGTTTGTTCTGCAGGCAGAATGATTCTCCACTAATGAAACAGGATTCATAAGACGCATGTCCCCTGCTGCCTGGCGAATTGCTTGCTGAACCACGTGCGAACGCTGGGTCACAAACATCTCATAACTTGATGCAGTACCATTTGGACCATCAGGCGGAGCAGAGGCTGCATGGGTCAGAACCACAATTGCATTAAACCAAATAGATGGTCCAAATATCTCCGTGATTGTACGCAATAATGGCATATCACCAAAGTCCCTGCTTTGCATATCTAACCTGTCAAGATACAAAACAATATCTGGAGGGGTCTTCTTGATGAAACGCTTGACAGAATGCAGGATCTTCTCATTGTGCTGTTGATCTGACCAGGAAGGTAAGAGACCCGGTGTATCAATCACCCTAACCTTGATCCCTTGAACTGTTCCCACCACGTCCTGGACCTTCTTTGTGCTCATTTGGAACGCATCAGTTTTGAACTTTACCTCATCAAATATAGAATTGATAGTTGCACTTTTACCAACTCCAGTCTTTCCAAGAACCATAATGGTGCATGAGAAGTCAAGAGGTTCCTGCCCAGCCGCCTCAAGCTGCTCTGCCATAGCACTTGCTCGGTCAAAACTAAAAGCACCTGCCCGACTAGTGTTTCTCCCTCGAAGCTGTTCAGCTAGTCCTAGCCTGTATAGAACCTGAGCTACAACAACATTATGGGGAGTCTGCCCAAGCCTGTAAGCAAGTCGTAAAAATTTCACCCGGATCATCTGTAGCTTTTCGCGAGTCTCATCATTCTCCTCAGTTTCACCATTCATGGGGTCTTCAACAAGTTGAGCTTGATGCTGAGGTACAGATCCATTCACCCGAGGCTGTTGCAGTGTGCGTGGAGCAGGTTCCAACAATGGGGCAGCACCTCCAAGGCCTGCTGGACGAGCAGGAGAAGCAGGCAGAGTAGGAGATGAGGACAAATTCCTAGAACTAACACCAACTGCGGACTGGATTTCTGGTTCTCTGTTCCCTCCCAACTTCTGTTCCTCTCCCAGATCTTTTGATTTCTGATCCTCAGGCTCTTCAACATCAGGATTATCATAGTTTTCCATACTTCTATCAACAGACTGAGGCCCAGAATCTTGAGAAGCTGTCTCATCTGATTCAGCAGTATAAGCATTAATCTTCTCGTTAATTTCAGAAATAGAAGCTTCTGGTATTTGTGAAGTTACAAATTCTGGACTATCGGCCTCATTCTTGCAAGATTCTACAGGAGCTGGGGTTACTGGTTCCGCACTGTCCACCTCATCCTTGCAAACTTCTACAGGAGCTGGAATTGCTGGTTCTGAACCATTCCCCTCATCCTTGCAAGCTTCTACGGGAGATGGAATTGCTATCTCTTGACCGTCCACCTCATCCTTGCAAGCTTCTACAGGAGCTGAAATTGTTGGTTCTGGACCATCCCCCTCATCCTTGCAAGCTTCTACAGGAGCTGGAATTGCTGGTTCTGGACCATCC